GTCTTTTGTCGTACCCGTGCTATGATTTGTATCTGTCCAAATTAAATCATCAAAATTCAAAATAAACAATGTTTTAATGTTGAACTTAGTTCAAGGCCAACTAATATGAGAGATGCTTTGCTGATGCAATTAGTTAGTGGAATGCAAAAGGAAGTTCCACCATATACAAACCAACAAAAGGATACAATTTTGAGCAGAAGATATGATTTCTAGAAACAGTCGTTACTTTCCACTTGCTTGGGAATATGAGCAAATGTTCCAACTTCATAGTCTATGGAGAATCGACAAGTTTTATTTCCATCCTCTTCAAAATATTAATACCCGATGTACTAACCAGACTAGACAATACAATAAACGTAATTTTAGCTTCTTTTTTTCTTCTTTAATTTTATTTAGAGTCATTCACTTCACCTAATCGAATGTGCAAGGGAAGTATAACAAACGGTGACACACACAAATGAATATCTTTTATAGTATATATTATAATGTTTAGGATAGCTTTGTTAGTCTTTATGTGAACAAACTCCTTTGTCTAAGCATCATTAAAAAACAAATCAGCTATGCTTTTCTTGAAGAAAAATAAAAAATTACTTGTTTTTCGTTTAATCTTTCTTTCTTTGTTTACTTTTTTTAAAAAAGAAAAAAGAAAAAGAAAAAAATGGGTGTAGTGGCAGTGGGGTTAATGTCCCTTCATTTCTCCAACAAGAAGATTTGGGGTGGTGATGGATGAAATCATGTACCATTTTGTTGACTATGGGATTGAGGGTCAACTCATTTTCAACCACACATTCTTTAATAAAATAATATTTTCCATCACACCAATAATTTTTCCCTCTTTTTAATTCACATATTTCTCATCACATCAACCAAAAAAAATACATTATTGGAGCAAAAATATGCACCAAACAGGGGCTAAGTTTTATTTGACTTGTGAGTTCGTAAGAAAATGTAATTCGTCATAATATATAAAATAATTGACTACGAATTAGACGATCTCTTAACTCGCTTACTAAATAATCATATAAAATAAATCTAATTATTCTTATGTCATTGAGTATCTTTTGTTTTTATATTGAAAATTGTTCCATCGCCATTCCCACAAGTCTTATATAGGAATAAAACAAAGCATATTTTAAAGTTTCCTTCCAACTTTTCAAGTAGACAAGTTGATCTCAACAACTGGGAAAACTTCATAACTTGCAAACCTAAATATTCAACGGAATGCACTAACAACTAAAGGAATTTGTTAAACACGGATCAAATTGAACCTAAAAAATGAAGAATAATTTCATTTACTCGATAATTTTACGTAAAATGATATCATCACTTGTGTTAAATTCCGATTCAAGTCCAAAAGCCTTATAGGGATATAGCCCTTTAGACTAAGGGGGCGAGCAAAGGATCTTAAAGTCTTGACATGAGGTGACAAAGGTTAATTTGGCTCAAGAAGATTCTAATAGACACGCTTAAAGAGGTGATGTCACTTCGATTAATCTGATGTTTAGTCCATGAAAAACCAGTGTCTTAATGCCACTAATCAAACTAGACATGCTTAAATGTGATGTCACTTTGATTAATTTTATATCTGAAAGGACTTCGTGGGGCACTTTCTTTAGGGTTAGAAGCGGTGATCTCAGCAAGTAGGAACCAAAAGTAGTTTAATTGTTTCTTCCTCCTTTCAAATCTCAAAGCACTAACAATTTAAAATTTACAAAGTTTAGTCAAAAAGAGAAACCAGACCTAGATGTGGTTGATTTTTGGACGAATTTAATGGGTGGAAGAGGGTGCGTGACAAAATCGTGCTGTAATATAATTCATAGAAACTATCAGAGGCGTCCATAGCCAAACCTGACACGCCAAGCTTTGCTATGCCTTTGGTAACCGAGCCTCACACACCTCGAATATAAAGCTTTGTCGTGCTTCTGATGTGCCAACTTGATCCCATTCGTAATGATCTCATCTCAAAATTATCCATGACTCCGTGTCTTCAGCTTGACCACTTAAGAGGGATCCGTATATTTTGTTCAGACAGATCAAAATGTGGAGAAACTGCTGGAACTGAAAGCAAAAAGTTTGGAAAAACATCTCATTATGTATTTAACCAGAAAATGGATTGTGCTCCTTTATATATTGCAACACAAGTATCTCTTTCTCAGCCTATTAAAGTGTTGTCGTTTAAGAGCTTGTTTGGGAGAGATTTTAATCCAATTAAAATTGAAAATATAACCGTTATTGAGTCCCACCCATCTAATAAAAGTCAACAATAACGACTAGTTTTTCAATTTTAATCCGATTTTAATCCCTCCTAAACAAGCTCTAAATATTTTGCTCAAAAATACAAGTGAATATATGATTCCATAAGCTGTAAGAAACCTTTCTCCACCAGAAACTGGAATCATAACAGCAGGAACAAATAAAAAGGCGAAGAAATATCTTGAATGCTAAATTTGAACCGGGCAGAAAAAATATACATTCAGTAACAAGTATCACAAAATATCTGGGAAGGCAATATGCTAACTCAAACACAAACGGGGAACCGCACTTCGCCTGAATCAAAAAACATCATCCAGGAAAACATACAAGGGATGGCACTAAGAAGACGGAAAGATGCTGGATAACTCGACTGCTAGGATGGAAATTATTAAATTTTTTTTTTTAAAACAAGCTCTGTGGGACTTGTCGTGGTCTGATTTTTAGTGTAAATTTTGTCAGGCCTTCCATTGAAGGAACCAGAAGTCACTTGAGACGTTTTGGACCATTTACACTAGTTTGAGCTCGACCAATGTCCTCGTCCTCTTTGCACTGATGTGCAGAGGGATGGGGATATAAAGTTTTAGCACTTGTTTCAATCAGGCCAAGTATTTGAACAAGTTAGGATTGTCTTTGTCCCTCTCCAAATAGTCCCGAGTGATCAAATCTTCAATCCTCTTCTTGATTGCTTTAACATCAGGCTGTAGATTGCACATTTACACTGAATCAGTTCGTTCAAAATAAAATAAAACGGCCAATTAGAAGATAAATATGTCCCATGTTACCTTGAACATGCGCCCCAATTGCTCCACACACTCCATAACCAACTGCTGATATCCCAAAACTTTCCTACTTTTCATTATTCGCACAATTGAGGCATCAATGGCATACCGTCTGTCCTTGTCGACATCTTCAATTACCTTCTTTTTCTCATCGACAGGAGGGAGAGGGATCTGCAATTTCATGGAAACAGTTACCAACAGACATTTTACAAGAAAAATATGCAATTACCTCTCTTATCATTTTTCTCTCGCCCATTTGGCTTTGGGGAAGTGGGGTTGGGGGGGCAATGGTTACCTTGATTCTTCTCATTTTATCAGTAAACTTGGAGTTGAATTCAAAAACATCGGTCGAAGAAACTGTTTTGGTGTTTGGCTCCTTATTTAGAATCTTATATTTGGCGCATGAAAGGGAGTGAAGCAGCCTAACAACATCGTCATCTGATAGATTCAACTGGGTCATTATTTCCTGATAACTCAATCTATCTGAGGAATTGAACAAAAGCAGAGCAGCAGCCTACGAAGAGGGAAAAACTTTAAATCACCACGTGATATCAATCATGACTATAAGTAAACAAGACATTAGTTAGTCACATCAAATCACCTGGTAGGTTGTCACAATCAGCTCTATAGTTTTTGGTTCAAATTTTCCGTTGATATTACAAGTACCCAAAGAATATATCCACGTAATTTTTCTGTGCTTCGTTTTGGTCTGGTAGAACTCTCTAAATACTTCAACGCACTTGACCTAACACAGAAGTTCAAAGTAATAAAGAAAGATGTCTGTCATATTATCTCTTCCATGAAAACGAGATTTTGCATACATTCCTACCATCTCAGCTGGGAGATTAAGATCAAAGGACTTGTAACTTGGCCAGAAACCAGTAGTTAAGACAGTAACAGTCAAATCAATCCCGGGACTTGCATTTTGATTATTGCTAAGATACTCTTCAAAGCTGGTTTGATTTTCTCTAGCTAGCGTTAAATCTGTGACCTGGAATAGTTGAAAAGGGAGAAACAGAGGTCATATTTAGATCACATTGTCCGATGTAGCTATGTTTCAGCATGTAGATAATATGAGAGCTTACCATTCCCTCCATTTTTGATGTAAATTGACCACCACACTGTTGCTTCAACTTTGTCAGGATACTTCTCTCATGCTCATCATTGGCACTCTTGTCAAATAATAGCCGCCGAGCAAGCTTTTTCCTGGCAATAAAATCAATCCATCATCATCTTAATATAGGGTTAAATACACTGGTGATCACTAGACCCCGTTTGTTTCAAGTTGGACTTTGAATAGACTTTGTTACAATTTGGTCACTCCATCATGTCCCTTAGTTTAGCCAATGGAAAAAGGTGATGTAGCAGTCTAGTTATTATTTGCCAAATAGATTGTGTGTCGGTTTTCTGTTAGTCAAACTAATAGGCAAAGACAAAATGACCAAATCGTAACATAAGTTTAAACTTAGCGACCAAGCGAAACAAAGTTTAATTTTAGTGACTACCTTGGAACTAACTGAAGTTTGGTGGCCAACACGAATTCCGCTATCAGTTCAGTGACCAGTATGGTTAAAATACACTACATTCTTACCAAATGAAAGCCTATGAACCAACCAACGTTAGAACATTACCTGTAGAATTCAGCAAATAGATCCTTGTCGCTAATATATGCAAGCAGCTTTACAATCTGCAAAATAAATAGAGCCTCAACCTCGACTTTCAGCAGATTGTAGACAGTAACTGCACAGTAAAACAGTTGTACTAGAAATGCACCTTCTCCAAAGTCTCCTCAATGGCTTCATCACTCAATTTTTCACTGCCACCCTTTTTGAGAATATTATCACAAAATGTAGCAAGAAGTTCTGCACTAGAACTCCCAGCAACGCCCTTGTTGCAGAAGATTTCAAAGGCCTCCTTGAGGGCCTATAATGGATATATACAAATAGGAGGTTCATATTAACTATAGTGCCAAAGGACGTGATTAGGAAAATTGTGCAGTATTTTTTATATTTCTAACCTTGTGGAAGAGTGGGTGATTTAAAAAGCAATCATTCACATATGCCATGAACTTGTCATGAAGCTCGATTACTTTCCTGACAAAAAGCTGAACTCCAAGGATTAAGTCATTTCAATGCTATGTAACTACACTACTTATAAATGGCTCAAGAAAAAAATTTACCTGTTCCTGTAATCCAATGACATCTCTTTTCTCTGCCTGTAAGACACCTCTTAGTGTCAGAAACATAGACAAAAATCCAACCATATATACAGCAAAAGATACATTTAAACTGCTATGTAAGGGATCTTCAGAAACTCATTTTCCAGAACAAAGCAAAAACACGATAAAAAATATTAAGCTGAAATTTTAGTCAGTCGAGGAAAGTGGAAAACAAATGATATATTTCGCTGTTTCTGAAAGAATGGTGTTTCCTATTTTTAATTTAAATTTCTCACGAATAGTTTTCTTTACAAATGGAGTTACCCAATGTTTAAAAAGGCAGAACTAGGTACTGAGGCATTTTATCTTCATTACGCCTCACCACAAACCAAAAATTAAGTCAAAAAAGAAAATTATACAAAAATAAAAATATAATAAACTATAAATAATCATAAAAATTCCCCATAGAAATAACGTCAAAATATACAACCGCTCATTAATATAATTTTATAAAAACAGAAATGAAAAAGGAAATGAGATGAAATGAAATGCAGAAAAAAGAAAAAGAGAGACCAAAAAATACCAGCATGAGTTTGCTGGCTTGAAATTGAAATCTTATTGAGCCCCTTTTTTATGTCAATTATCTAAAAACTCATTTTTTCTCAAACTCATTTTCAACTACACATTCTTACAATATAATATTTTGCACGTAAACCCAAAACTTTTTCCTACTTTTTAACCACACATTCTCCAAAAATTCACTATTACAAAACTCGTTTTCAACAATAAATGGGGCTCAAACACATCCTGAATAAGCTTTGGGTGTATTGGGAATGGTGAGGCATGGGATTGATTAGGTCAAACAATTAAAAGAATTGATGTGCCCAAGACGTTTTATCTGAGACGGGCCAAAATAAAAAAGCCCCACATGCAGAGTTAAAAAACAAAAGAGAGAAAACGTCAAAAGTAACGGAAAAACTGTAGCACATACATCACAAACCTCGAAGCGTACGCCTCAGAAAAATAGCACAAAAATTAGCGCCTCAAGGCACTACAGTGAGGCACGCCTTACAGCACCTTTTCAAACCATGGAGTAACATGAAAAGGCTGGGTCACACTTCTATAAAACTAGCTGGGATATAAGAACAGATAACATCATTCTGTTTACAGCTCAGAAAGATGCAATTAGCAAAAGTAGCAACACAACAATTTCTGCTTCTTACACTGTGTTGTTCATTTTAAATTCTCTCTTTTTTAAAATTAATTTTCTCAGCATTATTTGCTATATTGCTTGAATAAACATAAAAAACTGGATTACTTCTGCATCCACTTTCCCATCATATATGATTGATTAACTATACCTGCCATATGTTAAAGATCCAACCGAGATGCTAACTTTCACAAATTTATTAAGACAAATTATTTTCTACAAGCGAATAGCATAAGAAACCTCAAGCTTTACAGAACCATATTTACAACAGATTTATTTCCCAAAGATATACACTCTTAAGAGAGAAATAAAACAAAAACATATATCTGTAAACAGAAAATAAAATTACGGACCTTCTTGTTGCTAGCAGCATCTTCTGCTTGTTTAACCAACGCTGTACCTTCAGCAGTAACATGCTGCACTCAAGATGCCATTATATATTAGAAACAGAGAACTTGAAAAATAAGGCTGACTTTTAAGACTCGAGCGTATCACGACCTGCTTAAATATATTAGCAACAGGCTCTAAGCCTCGAGGTATTTTGGAGAAGAGCCTATACATTCTTGACAAATCTTCTATCTGTGGACCAAAAAATATATGGATGATCTTCAATGGATTGAAAAAAAAAAAAGTGTTCGTCACTTGCAGCAGCACGTGTACCTTATCGTCTCTAAGCAATGCATGACAACCAGAGTGCTCCTTCTCCAGCAGTTGGGTGGCATAAACAGATAACAACTCATGCTGTACTTTCTACAGGAACAAAAAAATGTATGGTCATAAGAGGATATAAGTCAAATAAATTAGAATATCTAATGGAAACCCTCAATTTATTAAACAAATCTGGATGCTCCAACAAAACAACGCCAACTTTCAAGAGCAGCAACAAACCTCAAGCAACTTGGTTTCACTACTTGAATGGAGATAATGAGAAACCCTGTCCTTTTCCCGCTTTAAACATTCCTCAGCCTGGATATGCAAGAAGATTATTATAAACCAAGCAAGTAAATTTCCATTTGGAACTTTTTCCCCTTCTTTCCAATGTGTACGTGTGTTCTTTTTCTTTTCCCTTAATTTTTTTCTCTTTTGGGGATGGTAAAATGACAAGGAATATTTACTTTCAACATATAATCCGGACATGAATCCTCTAAGATCCAGTTTGAAGCCTTCCGTGAATAATAAGCTGCAGTGTCATTGAGCAGTGCTGCTTCGAAATCGTTCTCATAATGCTCCATCTGCCCCATTCCAATTTCAACAAATATATCTAACACATTCTTCAATAAAGCGCGATCAATTTGCTCTCCTTCTCGCTCTTGGTCAATCTAGTAGAAAAAGATTGTTAACAAACTGAACAGACAATGGAAACAGAATTAGAACAATTGTAGAACTGACAGAGATCATACCAGAGATATAACAGCATCCCTTACTTTTGCATTTAACTCTTGGTATACCTGAAAGTAGAATTTCGAACCAACATTTCTTATAAACCCAATTAAAACACGAAAAGGAAAATAGGGAAAAATATAGAAAATAAAATATGCAACACACAAAAAGAATCAAGGAATGAACAACTGCTTCAACTTGGAGGCAAGCGAAATTCTAAACAGAAACAGATGGAAATTAATAAACAAGAAAACAAGATGGCATACAATCAAAAGTTACCAGGTCTCTGAAGCAAGTAAGACCAACTTCTTTGAGTGGTGGAAGCGACCTCCTAGAAATGAAGTACCGATCAAGATAATGGAAGAATCGTGAAAGCCATCTGACCATAATTTTATGGTTAGACCACCGCTTCACAAGCTCCCTTAACATGAATTCATCATGTTTTTCTCTCAATGAAGGCAGTACCTAAATGAAAAATAAAACGTGAGGAAATGAAACAGTTAAATTGATAATGAATAGATCTTAAAACTAAACATGAGATCGAACAACAAATAGAGGTAAATTAGAATCTGTTCCTTCTTTTCCAGTTCTAGCAATTCATCCAGGAATTTCAATAGGCAATTAATCAGGAACTGCTTCAAAATGAAACTCAAGGGTAAATTTGAATATGATGTTTATTCAACTGCAATAAACAATGATGCTACATAGTTTCTAAAAAGTTGTTCAGTCTAAATATTCAGTTAAAATGATTTTTGGGCATTCAAAGAGGGGGGCTGGGATGAGGGTGGGCAAAGGCACATAGAAAGGGAGGATGCATGGTGGAGCTATATTGAGCATCTAAACAGTGCAACTTTGGCATAGCCTTTCTACTTATATGCACACAATACTCATATTTTAAGTTAAAAGAGGACCTCAAATCAAACACACACACACAGCATTAATGAGATACCATAGCGCAATAAGCTTCCACCAATAATATTGGATGACTGAGTATTGAGTTGGTAATACAGCACAGTACACAGAACATAAATTTATAGATATTTTTATTGGCAAGCAAAATTGCACAAGGACAATGTTTCTCAAAAACTCTGATACATCATGTGAATTTAGCTAGAAAATAATACTGACGAAATGATACATCATGTGAATGTTAGCTAGAAAATACTACTGACGAAATGACATGTTACTGATGAAAACTCTAAAATTTTGATTGGCTGTTAAAATAAAAAGTTTTAGCCTTTCCATGACCTGGGCAAATCCACAGAGTTGGATGGATGCATCTCAAGAATAAACATCACGAAGAATCAAAATATAAGAGCTATGGGCAGAAAAACGATCAACTCAACATATAATAGACTTGAGAGACCAGTATTAGTTATTTAAGAAATGACCTGCAGCCGTCAACACATTAGTAGGAACCATGTTTTTTTTTTCAAAAACACCAAGGGAGATGTGAAAAAGAAATACAGCATTCCAATGTGCACTGTTGTCATTGTAAATATAAAGCATCAGCCTTCAGCTAAATTGTAATACATAAGTATGCTTCAGTATGCAATAAATACAACTTTGCTGCTACAACTAAATGAAAGAAACGGTGTCAGCCTAACCGTTGATGTAATGTATTCTTCAAAAGACTCGCGGTATTTGTCATACAACTGTTGTGAATAGTCATGTGGTGGCTTTTGAGTGCACATATTATAAATTGTCCTGTAGAAAATATTTAGGAATCAGTATACAAGATAATCATTGCCAATGATATCAAACACTAACAGTAAGCAGTGCAATAAAATCATACGTATAGAGCATCATATAGTCCTCTGAGCTGAATTGAGGCTCCGGAAGCCCTTCTAAAATGTTCTTCAGCTTTGTGATCCCTTGCTGCATAAAGTCCCATCCCTGGTCTAGATCAATAGTGTTCCGCTGGTTCATTGTCATGCTTTATTACAGCACAAGTTCAACGCATTAAAACACTGCAATTCAATCTGATAATTGATAGCCTGCCAATGCCACAAAATAAACTAAAACAACATAATACATCTATACATTTGGTATTAAAAAAAATCAACTCAGAAACATCAGCAACAGAATTATTGAACCTTACATAAAGAGCTTATCTATGACAGCAATATTCAATTTCAAATCCCCATTTACACTACTCACTTAATTCCCCATTATCCCCTTCAAAATCATCATTTTTACTCACGCCATCTAAATTTTTAAAAATTTCTCTAGTTACAGTTACCTTCCAGTTCCACTATGTAGTACCAAATCCATAATTACAATTTGAACTAATTTAGCCCCCGTTTGACACCCATTCTATTTTTCATTTTTTTTTCCCTTTCCTCATTTCAATCACACATTCTATCAATAAAATAATATTACACATAAACTCATAAAATCTCCTTACTTTTTAACCACACATTCTTTCATATCACTATTCCAGAATTTATTCTTTCCCCAAAATGGGTGTCAAACACAACCTTATTCACTTGTTACAATTTTTGTAGACTAAACTTTTGTAATTACATGAGTATGACCCAGTTCTAGGGCAACACTAGAGCACGTGAATCATCAAACTGAACCGACATAATATGAATATAATCCAACATCTAAACACCACGACTAAGCAAATTCATCGCAAAAATAATACCTCAGCACATGCCCTAACAAATAATGTCACAAAATTACAAGACCAACCACGTAAACCTCCAATAATCAAACAGATCAAAAAAAATAACATAACAGTGAAACCCTAACAAAATCAGTAGAATCGCAAATACGAGTAGAAAAACCAATCTAAGCAACTAATCCCCTCGCATTCAACCCCAAGGAAATTTTGTTTATATAAAATGACTATCGTTAACTCTAGAATTCCCAATTTAACAAAATACAGAATTCAACCACCGATCACAGCTAGGAAAAAAAAATCCAAATCGACTTCGCATATGCAAAAGATATCGATGTATACATACACATAATACAATCCCGAACGTATGTATATGTATATGCGGAAGAGAAATACCAGGAGGAGACAGAGTTTGGCGAGACCTGAATCCCTCCCTCTTTTTTTTCTGAACTTTTCTGGTTTTCAATTTCTCATAATTCCTTTTACTTTAGGCCTTTCCAATTTTTCACATCCTCCCCCAAGTTTCTATATTTTTGTCTTTGTGCCCAATAATTGTCAACTTTTGTCTCGTCCAAATCTTTATTGTATTTACTAATCATATTCACGCCACAATTTTTATCTTTTGCACCACATTTTAATTACATTTAAAGTTTTATTCTTATTTTTATCATTTCATTAATTAGAGGTTACATGGTGCTTGGTGATGATTTATGTCAAAATATTATGCTTACATGCTTGAAATGTGGAAAAATATTTTATCGCACTTTTACATTTACAGCTTGTTTGGTAGGGATTTTTTGGGGGAATAATTGATTTTGAATAGTGATATGATGGAAAATGTTTGGTTGAAAAAGAAGAAAAAATTATTGATGTGATGGAAAATATAATTTTATTGAAAAATGTGTGGTTGAAAATGAGAATTGATTTACTATAGAAAATAAGAATCCCTCCCAAACATGGCCTTATTGTTTTTTAAAAATATTGGGCAGATAAGTTACTTATAGTGTGTTTGGTAAAGATTAAAATCAGATTAAAATTGAAAAATTAGTCGTTATTGTTGACTTTTATTAGACGGGGTGAGACTCAATAACGGCATAATTGATTACCTGTTGATGATATTATCCAAGAAAAATTTGCCATACACTTAGCCTCCAAATGCCAGTGCTGCAGCAATTCAGAAAGCATTAATCACGTATTTTTGGATGGTCGAATCACGTATTATTTTCTTGTATAACATCATTGTTATAGACATGACATGCTAATTAATGAAAATATTTTTGATAAGAATGCATCAAAAAAGTTAGAAAATTATAATGAAAAAAATATTGAAGACCTTGTGAAAATTGAAATTGCTCCATATTTGCAAGATATTATATTTTTACCGTAGGGGATAGGTTGGTGAAATACCCGAACTACCCGGTGTTGTCCTGTCCATTGAGGAATCAAGATGGAGACGGGAATATGGACTAGTCCCTTACTACTATTCTTAATAAATAAATAAGGAAACCACACGGGAATTGGAGATATTCTTGGCTCCCGCATCCCAAGATCCTTCATGTTGGGGGAGGTTTGAGGCATGGCGCCGTCGTGTTGTCATTTCTATTGTGACTCAAACGATCTATAGTCAATGAAAGTAGGATAATGCTTGATAGTGAGCGAAAGGTTGGAAAGGGATGGTAGGGTTGTGGTGTTGCTAGCAACATTAGAAGAGAATGAGGAGGTCATTTTAGATTAGATGTTTGTCTTTTTAATGTGGCTCTGATACCATGATAAAATTTAAAGTTTCATCTTATGAGGCCTATTTTATAAGAGGATGAATGGGCTTGCGTCTCATTTCTCTTTATTTTCTGAATCTTAATTTGGTGGTGTGATTAATCCAAAAGGTTCGAATATGATGAGATAAACATATGATGAATAAAATTTTGTTTCTTGTTCTTCGTTTACTATTGCCCAACATCTTCGTGTCTATTGTACCAAATAAAGTTTATTTGTCCTCTAATGGCCATAACAAATGTCAAGAAAGACAATTCAAAAATAATAATAATATAGACATTACGTTATTGGCAAAGGTCGGTGTATTTATACATGGATCGGGTTACATGTACCGAATTTTTTTATCAAATCTTTTATCTACTCATAATGGGGGTGGGAGCCACATTGTCGAAATTTTTAAATACATGCGGGCCCCGCGCATTATGTGAGATGGGGTAATCCATTATATAAAAATCATTATGTACAAATGGATTAACCATTTATACATTGCATACCATGTCACATGCAATGGATATCAATATGATTAAGCATGTATTCTTAACTTTTCTTTTCTAAATTGTAAAATTACCAATGTAGAACAAATAAGCAATGAAATATTTTCTAAAATTTTCAATTGATACAAAAAAATAGGTTAATTAGATTATATAAATTAAGAATTTTTATTTGATTTTAAAATATCGAAAGAGTAAAACCTCTGGAGCATTTGATTCAACTATTGCTACGCTGATGCGGCTGATCACAATCTTTTCAAGCTCGCTAGCTTTTTTCAGTAAGAACTTAGCCATGGTCACATTTGGCGAGATTTCGAGTAAATTCACAATTCCAGCAAGACCATCTTTCCCACCAGTATCTAGTGTTAAACACTTCAAATTTAATAGAAGCGAAGGCAAATCTGTCTTTTCATAGCTGCCAGCACCTGTTACAAAAGGTAAAAGAGGGCTATGCATCAGATACTTTAATGGGATCAATGTGGTAATTATTGTAGCCATTAATCGAGATTTCCCCACTGCTATGAAATGGGAAAATCAAGATTCAACTCATGAATATGAAGCTGGAGCTGTTTCATTTTCACATATTAGAAAAGGTCAGAAACTTGTTTGGTTACTAATTTATACGAGTGTTTTCATTTGGTCACTGAATCTCTTTTTCTTCTCTCTCAATATTGTTAGTGTTTGGTTACCAATTCAATTTTGCTTGAAGTTTTTGTGGTGAAAGAACATGGGAAAATGAAGAGAAATGACAGGCTAACTAGTTAGGAGAGACGCCAACAAAATCCACGAATGCAGGGGGCGGATGCAAACTTTCGAAACTAGGGAGGCACAATCTAACTTTCAAATTTTTTTTTGGGAGGGAGAAGTAGAGAAACGGGATTATGGAATGGATTTTGGAGACGGGACAGAACTGAGAAGAGAGACGACTCAGGGGGCTAGGCTGTTGGAGAGAAATGAAAGGTAGGTTTTAGATTTTTTTCCTTTTTATATTTAATTTAAAAAAAACCCCCAAAATCTGCAGGAACACGTGCCCCTGTAGGCCACTGTGTAGGTCCACCCTTGCATGAATGTCTTCAAACTAAGTAAAACAAACACTAACAAAGACAGTCCACAAATTTTCAAGTACTAGTGAAAGTAAAATTATAAGCGCGTGCAAAATGAAGTGAACATATTTCGATAAAGAAGAAAAAATGGTGAAGAGAAACCAAACCTTAATGCACCAATCTCGTACCGCTAACTTGTTAACATGATGTAATACTTAATGCTTCAAGATTTGGAGTACAAATTTTCAAAGTTGAATCTACTTCATCAAAACCCAACATCATAATAATATCCTCTGCATAATGAATGGATAACTTCTTCAAACTAGTGGAATAAATACTCAAGTTCTTGCTGCAGCTTGTTTTCAAGAAATCCAATTGAGGGCTACCTATTAACACTTTGTCAATTACAAATTGACTCAAATGCTCATTATTAATTTCTAAACTCAGGTTTATCCCAATGTAGCTTCCCATGAATTTCAAGATCACGCCCCAAAGGCGTAAATTTCTGATTGATGAACGAGAGAATAGGCGTTGTGGCATCCAGCATCCGGTATCCTCATTAAAGTAGTGATCCAGATATAACTTTTCAACTTTATGTTGTAGCACGAGTAGGACCTACAGATTATGATCACAACATAAAGATTTATCAAACAAGAAGTCCTAACAAAATGTGAGTTTTTGAATCTTTGTACCTCGTATCAGAGTACGGTTAACAAAGTTTTGAAAGAATGGTTGTCCTAACAATAAATTCCATAGGCAAGAATGAGGAAATGAAGTGGATTAACGAGTCAGGTAACTCACTAAGTCGATCCATGGTTTGTTTCAGATGACAGGAGTTGTTTACCCAAAACTCCAACGTGTCCAAATGCTTTTGAAGTGACAACAATGTTTTGATTCTTAAAGCCACACCATTACATCAACCTCAAAAACCTCCAGTAATCAATCGAATCGAATTAGCTATACAGAACAATAAAACCCTAACTATCCAATAACCAA